TCAAGCTACGGGGGCTCTTTCTTGATGTGGTCGTGGTGACAAGCCTAGGGGCGGCTTCGGCTGCGCCAGCCACCTGCGCCCAATCCCGTCTTCGGTCGGCTTGACTCTGTCTTGACACTGGGTACAGAGGATTGGGGTCAGATGGTGTGTCGTAAATGCTTTCCACGTCTTCTAGCACTTAAAACTAATTCACGCGCAAGTCCCCGTTCTTGCACCACGCTGCTGTTGAGCATACTGTGTACGCAGTCGAAACCGACGGTCAAACTGTCACACTATGTGTCTGATTGTTTAACGTGTAAGTTAATCGACGCAACCAATGGAACTTTTTGGAAGCGACGTAGCAGTGTATTTTTGCTTGTCCTGATTTGCCTACAAGATGGTCCTCCGGACACCAGTGCGTTTAAGAGGTCTGTTTGTCTTCTATCGCGACCTTTTACATCCAGCGTTCTGATCTGTTCAACCATGTCAATCCTACCTCGATGTTATCTCTCCTGCTAGACCCTTTCAGACTGAATTTTTAGTTTGGCATCTCCTCGAGAACATGGTTCTAAAAAAATAATAAACGCTGAAACTATTTGTAGTTTAAAGTTGAAGTTATCTTGATTGCATTGAAGTGATTTGTCATGGCATATTGCCTATTCACGTTGTCCTAGGATAGTCCATTTCCAAATGCTCATCTACTGGGTCCTTGTTGCACTCAAGCTAATCGGACTTGACTATTTAGGAGGATTGGCAGATTTGCTTAACTTAGTTGACCCAATTGTGAAAAAACTCGCGGCATTCAGCGGGATTTGAACCCGCATAGAGGGGAAGGCCTTTACGTGAAACCAATGCTCTACTAGTTGAACTACAAATGCCACGCCTAACACCGTGAATTTAATCACACTTGAATCGATTTTACCCGCCCAACTTTACCGCTCGTATAGAATCCACCAATACGGAACGGCTCAACTGGTAGAGCATTCGTTTCGCGTAAAAGCCTTCCCTACTATGCAGGTTCAAATCCCGCCGAATGCCGCCAGTTTCTTGGGTCAACTAAATTAATCGGATTTGCTCTCTTTTTCGTTAATTTCGCAAATTTCCATGAAAGTTTTATAGACGTGGTTGCGAGTGAC